CTCTATCGTCGATGCATTCCTCATCGGCTGCATGTTCATCAAGATGTCCCAGCCCAAGAAGCGAGCTGAGACCCTCATGTTCAGCCGTGCCGCAGTTGTCTCGCAGCGGGATGGCAAGCTCTGCCTCATGTTCCGTGTCGGCAACCTCCGCAACAGCCACATGGTGTCTGCCCAGATCCGCTGCAAGCTGATCAAGGTGAGGCCTGGCGTGACAGCGGGCAGGATGGGGCACCTGCGTTGCGGTGGGTGACACGGGCAGGGCGTGGGCCAAGTGTAACCACGTGCCCATCATACGGGTAGCATGGGGCTTCCCCTGTGCAGCCCCTGCTGCTGCCCCAGGGGCAGTTGCCCTGTCCCTTGGCATGTGGGTGAAGAGTACGTGGCTCGGGTGGTATGAAGGGCTTCGGAAAAATTTGCTGTGGCTGCCCATAGTGGGAGCCACGAAAGAACCAAGCAGGCATAGGGGAAAAGACAGTCTCATCAGAGAGCTCCCAGGGGCATTCCAGTGGATTGTGAGGCTGTCAGGAAGCCAATTTTGTCAGGAAGGATGGATGTGTCAGGATACAGGATAGCTGCAGGTATACTAAGGCATGCCCCTTAGCAGGTGACAGCTGAGAATAAGAAATTGATGATACCCATCTTGTGGTGACATTAAATTAGGACAAAGATCAACCTTGACCTCCTCTTCCCCTTGGGGAAACTTGGGGAGCTTTAACTTGTAGTTCCTTACCCCATGGTTCCAGCCAGTAGCCTCCCAGCATTTCAGAGGGATTGTGCAGGTGCTTTAGTTGAAGGGCCCTTTGATTGTCACCAATATCTATTTATTAATCACTGACAATGGTCAGCGTAATTCAGAATGCAAGAAAAACTGGAATTCAAAGGAGATCATAACCCAAAAAATAAAGAAATCATCGGGAAACAGTAGAGTTTGGCAGGCACAGGAGTCTGGAAGAGACATCGGGCAGGAGTAGAATGGAAGGAAAACACTGTGTGCGGCATGCTGAGATGAAGCAACGTAGCAGCTCATAGCTATGTCTTGTCACGGGAGCACGCTTGATTGGGAGCATCAGAAGCTGGATCCCAGTGATGATGTTAGTTTCAGAATATCATATTTGAATGTCATAAATGTTCTATATTCTCTATGGTAATCCTCTCTTTGGAGCAACTGTTTGGCCATTTTAATAATCTGCAGAAACAAGCAAGATACAGTAGGTGACGGGACAGTGGTAAATGGAAAAGGCTGTTTTCCTTCTGTTCTATGCAGAATGCTTGACTGAGCTGTTAATTCTTCTTGTCACAGAATACCATTTTAAATGGAGAATCTGCTAAGATTCAAAAAGAGGTTGGATATGTATGTGGGAGCAAGCTGTCAGGAGTTACAACGGAACAATTTTTGTAGGAATCCAAAAGCCAGCTAAATCATGATTTTAGTTGATCTCTAACTATTAAAAATTAGCAGAAAGCCTCCTCTAAAGTATTTAATTCTGTCCATCATCCAAGACGGAATGCAAGTCAAAGTGGAATAAAAGCGGTGTCACAGTTGTGTTTTTACAGCGATAGTAATTCGCTATAAACTTCTTTTGAAATAAGACACCGAATAGACAACCTGGTGTGCTGTCTGCTGATAATTCTATTGCTACACAATGGTGGTATGCAGATGATTGGGACAGAAAACACAAGGACATTTGATGGACCTGCTTGAGCGATTTGTTTTATGGTAGCTGATTCATAGACTAGACAATGAATCGGTGAGTAATACTTGATTTCTTTCAGACGATCATCATGCCCATGACTTGTCTTCAGGCTGCTTTGTGACCTTTGGCAAATATAAGCTATGGACACAGGAGAGTTTAAAAGCAAATGTTTGTGTACTAGCTGCCCCTTCAGTCCTCATTACAAGGCATGGTATTAGTTCCCATGTCTTTCTGTAAATCCTTCTCAGTGCGTTGAGGTGCCCCTTGAAATGGACACACCGTTCCAGCAGTCATAGTGGCCATTCTGGCAGCGTGTGAATCAGCTGCTTTGAAGTAGCTTTGTGTGTTCTGTAAACTTACGGTGAATGTGCCGGAACTTGCTTACTATTTGTGTTTAGTGAGTGCTGCCTTTTTGTGACTTGTGCTCTTTCTGCTGTGCTTCATGCAGTGCTGTTGACAGCTGATCTTGCTACACTTCTCCTGCACCCAATTAGATAGCTAGATTTTTTTTTACTTGTGTCACAGTGAAAGAATGTGAAGAAATATGTCTTATCACACTTCTGTACTTGAGATAGGAGCCATATTTAGTAGTGAACATAGTGTTTCAGTGGGACCAATGGAGCCCCAAGGATTTACATTTGTAAAGAAAGTACACCAATCTAAGTCTGTCTGAATGGCATTTACTGAAAGTGTGATATATGCCCTTGGATATTCAGTAGATCACAGTGGTGCCACCACACTGTGCTGGCTTTTTGTTTGGTCCAGGGGACTGCCCAGCAGCATGGCGTAGTGATGTCACAGAAAAGTCTGGGGCCCTTTTTGGACTGAGTTGTGGAGAGTTTGTAAAACAGGGTTACAAGACTAAGTGTGCGTGTTTCAGCAAAAACTTTTCCAGAAACCCGAGTCTTTCTAATTTACATTGAGTGCTCTAGAAGCAGGAAAAAGCAAACTCCTGGGGCACGAAATAGAAAGAAGCTGGTTGGAACTAGCTGATGAAAATGTGCAGTTCCAGGTCCTGGTTAGTGTCACAGTGAACTGTATTTTTCTGCCTGTTAATTCCTGGACCTCACTAGTGCACCTGAGTGATCTGGTGGTAGCAGCAGCAGCAACCGGCATCCACCGTATGGTGATCAGTATTGATTTTTTTTAAAATTAGTTACGATACCTATTTTTATCTTCTCTTGGTGGGATTACATATGTCACTGATAAATATGATGGTGTGTAAAGTGGTCTGTAAAGTGTTTCAGCTAGTAGTGTAGAACATTTTGATTCAGAAAGCTGAGGAATATAAGTCATAGTAGCCTGTTTTCAACATGTGCTAAGCAATAGTTTTAAAAATAGAATTGTGAAGCATAGTAGCCATAGAGCCAGTGCATTTTGGCTTATGACCAGCAGGCACCTATTCTTTGAGCTGTACTAATTAACAGCTTTGAATTAAGCTGAAAGCAAACAAAATTTTAGCAGAAAGTTCGCAGATGGCAGATGACAGGCATTGCAAATAGGTGAGAAGACCCATTATATTGTGATCTCAATAACTCGGTAAGCAGGGCACCTGCAGAAAGTGCAAATGATATGTTTTTGAATATCACAGAATCATTCAGACTGGAAGGGACCTCGGACGATCTCTAGTCCAACCTCCTGCTCAAAGTGTGGTGAAGTAGGAGGTTAGACCAGGTTACTGTGGGCTTTTTCCAATCTGGTTTTGGTAACCTTTGAGGACAAAGACTGCACAGCCTTGCTAAGCAAGCTCTTCCACTGCTTAGCTGTCTTCATGGTGGAAAAGCTTTTCTTCAGTCAGAACATCTCTTGTTTCAACTTACGCCTGTTGTCTCTCTTGCTCCCGCTATGCACTGCTGTGAAGAGCCTGGCTCCATCTTCTTGATTACCTTTCTCTTAGGTTTTGGGAGGTTGCTGTTAGATCCTCCTCTACGCCTTCTCTTCTCCGGCCTGAACAAGCTCAGCTCACTCAGGTCATATTTACAGCTTGGGGCAACTAGATTCTATTGAAAAGTAGCAGTCGTTCTGGGAATTATCTAAGCTAGAGCTCCAGGTATAGTGTCACTACCAAAAAACCATAAAATTCTTTAACAGCGGTATCAAAGTAACAGGTTCATATTATTTCAGTAATGCAATATATAATAAATGTTCTTGCAAGCTGCTAGTCTAAGGGTGGGGCAGAAGCGTAGGTAGGTGAGATCAGGGTTTTTCCTCTCAAATACCAGAACTGAAAATACCATAGTACTGTATGGCAAATTAGCATGTACCAGTTTAGCATTTTCTAGATTCCTGAGTTTCTCTACAACATACTTCAATATTAAGCTTGTTGGTCATCTGTCTTTTGCATCCTGTGTTTTCTACTCCAATGCTTAATTAGTGCACCTGGGTATGAAAACAAAATTATGTGAGTTCTCTAAACGAGTGAACTGAAAGAGGGTTAATAATAATAAAACTGCGTTGTGTCTGGTTAAAGAAGGATGTGCATAAACAACAGGGTTTAGAAAAGCGCCAAGAATGAATAAAGGATATGAGCGAAGACTCGAAGGGCATAAAATGTTTAGTCAGACACAAAAACAGACCAAGTGATGATGCAATGGAAGTCTGCCTAGTAATAAAACAGAGATCCAGTGACAGAAAGTTAAAGGTGGAAAAATCTGGACACAGAGGAGTCTTTTTTTTCTTAGCAGTGAGGCAACTAGCCTTTGGAGCAACTCATCTAGACCTTTGGATTCTCCATTTCTGGACACATTTAAAATGAAAGCTGGGGCATTTCTAAGTAATTGTGCCCTTGTTCAAGCATGTATTAATCTGCGGAATTTATTTGGCTTTGTGTTATGCGAGTGGTCAAAATAGAGAGTCACAAGTGTTCCTTCCAAACTTACTGCTGACAGTTTATAGTCCTCTGCCCTGTTTTGTGATCCTTTGAGTAAAGCTATATATATGCAACAAAGGTCACTGGCTAGGAATCTTAACGTATTATGGCTATTAAGCTATCTTCATTCAGGTTAATTTCTTTCTGTTTAACAAACAAGTTTCTTCTAAAAATTCTCCATACCCTGCGTAAATCAGTCCTGTATGTAAGATACCGAATACCTCAAACACAACCTTTTGCTTTCTCCCAGATCTGTTACCTCTAATCATCCTCGCTGGATTTGTTTACTGTTGAGTGGATTTGATCGAAGACTCTTCCACAGAGAAAAATGGTTTGTAGATGAAACAGTTCTTAAGTCATTCAGGCAGCAATTTGTGCAAATATGCACATATTTGTCTAGGTAATTGTGTTTGATAAAACTTCAGGAAAATTTGAGGTTTAGATGTTGGTTCATACAGCTCATGTTGAGCCTTGTTACCTTGGAGCAAAGATCATACGTTGTCAACCAATTTGTGCACCCGCTGAAAGAACAGTAGCCAGGCAACAAAAGCAGTGGCGTAGTCTGCAGCTTAGTTCTGCAGGTTCCCTCAGGAAATGAGAAAGGATGTTTTTGCAGTAGTTTGATTACACCTTTGCATATAACAGACTGTTACGATTGCCACATAGTAGTGGTTTTGATTGCTTTTATTTTATAGCAATGTCTTTTACCTTTCAAAGCACAAATAATGTGTGAGAATGCTTTTACAAGCAATCAGCTGATATTTTCCCTGTCCTCATCAGTAGTGGAGAAACTGACCCTTGTGTAAGGGAGAACTTGGTTATTTAGATAGGAAGAATTTTTTTTTTTTCCCTCAGCAGAAAAACAGACACATAGCACATAAATGAAATAATGCATTGTATTTAAGATGGAACTGTACTCTACCAGCTACCTAACTGATTACATAATCACCAGTAAATACCAGGCACTTAAAAATGCAGCATTTTTAAGATACAGGTGAAGCAGAGAGACAATCTGAAGGTGCACTCGTTGCTTAGGGATTTTTTTTAAAGACAGAAACTTTCTTAAAAGAATACCAATCAGATCTAAGTCGATGGCAAAACTGCTAGCTTTGGCTTGCTCTCAGGACTAATGGATGGAGTTTCCAAGCAATGGAACCAATACATTTGTCAATACCAATGCAGCACAGTTAAAACTATTTAGTAACTATGGAATAATCTATCATTTATAATCAATAGTTGGCTTCTTAAAGAGTTAAGTGCTCTCTAATCAAGCAAGAAGCAGAAAGGATTTTAAATAGGATTTTAAATCAGCTCTGCAAAGCTTGTAATTTTAACGGGCAATTTCCACCAGAGACCTTTAAAGCAATCAGCTGAGGAGCTGCCTGGCCAACTGATGTAATTTTTAGTTATACTTTGAATACCAGGAAAATTTGGGGGGAACACTATGGGGTGGAGGTAAGCTATCATATCAGTATTTTTATTGGACCCATGAAATGACGTGAATAAAAGTGGGGCACTTAGCTTAATAATGATCATAAGTTCCTTATTAAGATCAACGTACAGAAGGTGGTACATGCAAATTGGCAAGGGATGATAGCATCGTTAATGTCGATTCAGATGGTTCTGTGGAAATGTCACTTACCAGACGTACTGTACAATTACGATGCTTACCTTTGAGTTAGTACATCACAGTGTCTGCCAAACAGAAATTAGTAACATATAAAAATAACGAAACATGAATTCAGGCAATGGATTAAAATGTGCCTGGCTTGTAGATTTTGTTCTCATTAATGGGAACTTTTGCCGCAGGATGTTCATGGAGAACACTCGTTATAAGGCGTATAGTGTGGTACATGATGTTTTTGTTAAAATATATGTATCTATCATAGTAAAGTTTGTAGATGATGATGAGATCTAGTGGCATGATAAGAAAAGTCAAAATTGGTCATATATAGTAGCCTTATAGTATTTAGCATTACTTATATCTCCGTTATGAAGACCCCAGACCTAATATGTAGATTATAATGTTATGAAAGAGGCAGGTTTAAATTTCTTTGCATTGCTTTTCATGTTTTGCCTCACATGGTGTTTACTAAATCATCTTTTCATCTTTAGTCCCGACAGACACCGGAGGGAGAATTTCTGCCGCTAGACCAGTGTGAACTGGATGTTGGATTTGGAACTGGAGCTGACCAGCTGTTTTTAGTTTCCCCATTAACCATCTGTCATGAAATTAACTCAAAGAGCCCCTTTTTTTGTCTCTCACAAAGATCACTAAGAAGCGAGCAATTTGAAATAGTTGTCATCCTTGAAGGAATCGTTGAGACTACCGGTAAGATTTATAATAATATGCATGCTCTGATTTTTAGTCTTTGTTTCCAGTCCTGATATTTTTAGTGAGGCAGCTGTTAATCCTTTCAGGATGCTCATCCTGGATGCTCCAGAATATCCTGCTGTGTGCTACAGAGCTTCAGTGGCCTTTACCAGCCAATAGGAGACCTCCCTTCCCCGTTGGGTAATGCAGGGCTCTGCATTACCGATGCCCAAAGTGGCCAATACATCCAAGAAGAGATGTACCCTGCCACTCTTTGAATACGGCATGTAGAGCAGACAACACCCTTATGAGACTTCTGTTTTAAGGACCACCACCCTGAAAGAACATTGAACTTTAAAAGTTGCCAGTGCTGCAAAATCACTTTCAGCCTAGCTTGCATTAAATTGAATGCAAAATAACAAATCCAGTTTTACAGTACAAACACAGACCACATAGTCACAAAGATTGTAGGAACACATGGTTATAGGCAAATATGAGCGGGGCTTTTGGGTTTTTTAACTTTTTTTTTTTTTTAATTCTGATATGGCATTGTCCAGATGACAGCTGACTTTGTGGCCTTGTCTTTTGAGGACTTAATTCTTTTATGAATCCTGTGACAATGCGCTGTGGCTACGTAAGAAGCTCTGCGTCGAGGATCTATTCGTACTGTTAAAGTCCAAATCATTCAGTAGGTTCATCAATATTCTGATCTTCCTCTCCCTTCTTTTGAGGATTTGTTAAACTTTGATTAACCAAGGAGCATTTTCATCCTCCTTTCAACAAGATTACCAGTTGCCCGGTTCCTGCCTTAGAAACAGCAATGTCCTTTTGGCACAGCCAAGTGCAGTCATCTCATGCCAGACAGGAAACAGAACTGACCAATCACTATCCACGTGCTGAACTGAGCCCTAAACAAATACACAATCCACCAAGGCAGAACACGCTTTCACGTCGAGTGCAGCAGGCTTTAAATGCCCACAGAAGCCTCTTCTCATCCCGCAACTGAACCCTGTATGTTAGATAAGCATGCATTCATAACTGCACTTAATACAATTACCTAACCGGGTATGGCAAAGGAAACATTTCACACTTGTCTGAGAATTGATTTAGCAATAACTGGAGAGCAAATCAGAGTTTGGGCTTACTGACTTCTAATTCTGCCTCTGAAGAGTACCATGACGGGAAGTCTTAAAGTTCTACTCACCTGGGATATTTGTATTAGTTATCATCAGCACCGTTGTGCAGAGATTGTAACAGAGTTGTTGGCTTGGTTAGAACACATTTTAGCTGTCAGTTCACACGTGTAAATACTGCCAATGATGTATGTTTGCACTAAGTGGAACAAATTCTTCTACAAGCTTTACAGCGGTACCTATGTCTTGGCATGCAAGACAGCTGCAGTGTCTCTGCACAGCTTTTGTCTTGACATACTATTTGGAGAAAAAGTATCCTAGCCTATAGAGGGAATGGAAGATTGAATTTTTCATTTAGCTTTGGCTCCCCCCACACCCAATCTTTGCCAGAGAATTCTGTAGGCCTCTGCCAAGCAACAGTTCTTTCTCCCAAGGTGACTTCCAAGAAACAGTATTACATCCAAACTATAAGATTGTTGTTGCTAGCGAGCTAATGCTGTCTTAGTTTTATGTTTTGCTTTTATCAAAAGCTGTTTGCTTGGTGTGAGTCTGATCCAATATTTGCATAAAAATCTAGTCAATCAATTAGAGGCATTCCATTGACTGTTGGGAGATTGACTAGGAACAATTGCTCCATTTTATAATCTATAAATTTGTTACAGGTTACAATTGATTTTTACCTGTCAGCCATACCTTGTATTTTTTGTTCCATATGCCAGTCTGCTTGCTCACATTAGAATGTCATGCTCTTGTCTCCATTTCTGTAGGAATGACGTGTCAAGCTAGGACTTCGTATACAGAAGATGAAGTTCTTTGGGGTCACAGATTCCTCCCGGTAATGTCCCTAGAAGATGGCTTTTTCCGTGTCGACTATTCTCAGTTTCATGCTACGTTTGAAGTCCCCACTCCTCCTTACAGTGTTAAAGAGCAAGAAGAAAACCTGTCCCTATCATCTCCCTTGAATAATCCTGCTGATAATAACAAAACCAGAAGAGAACAGATTTGTTCACCTGACTGTATTGATATTGCAGGAGAGAAAAACAAGCTCCCTTTTAAACTTCAGAAGATTAGCTCGAGAAAGGAAGACCTTCCAAGAAGAGCCCTGAGAATGAGTTCCAGTAATGCAGAGAAGACTTGCAGTACCGGAGATCTCTCAAAAATTCAAGAAATAGGTCCCATCTCTGATGGTGAAGACAGTGATGACAGGATACAGCTGAAAGCCTTAAAAATAAATGCCAAGGCTTTGACGCAGTCTACCGGTGATCTTGAGTTTCAGAAGAACCCTCCAAGTATGCACGCTCTAGACATGAAATTGGAAGATAATTTTCCTGCCAAACTTCAAAAAATGAACTCTGATAGCTTCTCTTAAGAGCAGAAGCAACAGGAGTTGTGGTGATAAACTGCATTTGAGACTGCTGACCTGAAAGGGTTGTCTTATAGTAAAGTCATAATTTGGTTTTGCCACTTTGAGGAAGAACAATCCTTTTTGTATAATTGTTCTGTACAGATCAACTTAGGTAGCATAATAGGACTTTGAGGGGCAGTAAGGTTAGACTGTCGTGCCAAAGAGATCGTTGCCCTAATGATGTTTATCAGCATGCTCGTTGCAAATCTACATTGTCTTCCATATATGCAGATGCTTTTTCACGAAACAAGGACCAGATCCTTAATTACAGAGTGAAATGTTGAGATCAAGCCAAAAAGGGTGTAAAACCAGCTGAAACACAATTTTGTGCAGCTCAGATCTTGGACTGTTCCTGATGTACAGAACAGCAGAAAACAGGAAGAATCTGTGATGCTGCTTTGGTCGTAGTCCAGTTCTCTCAGTGACCCTGTCGGAAGGTAGCCTTCCTGTTGCAGCCTAGTGGCATGCATCCTTCTTTCTCAATGATTGTGGAATGCCAGCTCTGTGCCCCCAGAATCTCGTTCATTTTCATTCAGGTAAAGGAAATGGTTTGCGATAGCCATTTGTGTTTGACTCACACGAGCTCTCATAAACATGAGGATCAGTTATCCTGTCCAAAATTAAACCCCAGCATTCGATCAAGGGGATCACATGTTGAATTTTAACAACCGTATCACCACTCACTGTGAAGGGAACTTGAGGTCGGTAGCTCAACTTAATGGTATGTCTCACACCTCAATTTCATGAAATTTTAGTTTGGAGACTCCTCGTAAGTAAATAAAAGCAAAGTGCTAGATAATGCTCAGTCATTACAGGAATGGACAATAATATGTATACATCTCAGAGTTTTACTAATGAATGGTGAGGGTTTTTGATGTTGCTCATTTTTTTTTGCTACATTTGCTTTCTCCCTTTATGTATGATTCTCAATAATTTTGTAGATTTAACCTTTATAATATTATGCAATTTATTGCAGGGTAGAACTTTGTTTTAACATAAATATATTAAGATACTGAAAGAAAGAGTAGCACAGGTCTGTAACATGTTAAATGTGCAGCTGAGAGAGGGCTTTCACGTTTTTGAGCATAATGGAGCATTCTCTCAAAGTGCTTCTGCTAATAATGGTGTTTTACTTTCAATTGTTGAATGACTATTTTAGAAGCTCACCCCTGGAATATGGCAACCTTATCTGTAGAAATGACCAAAAAGATGTCAGTGAATATTTACACAGAGGTATTTTGGTATTCAGTATCTCTTTAAAGTGTCATACAGCTTTTTCTAAGTGACTGGCATTGAACAAGAAAAATGCTCTTCTGGTTTTAAAACAAAGCTTGCATAATTGAAACTACTGTTTGCCTTACTGATCATCAGGAAATGGCGAGAACTAGACTTTGTCTTTCTTAGATTTCCTGGAGTTCTACACTTCAGAATAATCGCATTACTATTCAGCTATTCTGCTGTCCATCTCAATCTGCGAAAGAGGTCTTTTTTTTCTGGTTGGCAGTGAGCAAGCATAATCAGAACTGGCTATTTTGTAAAATGCAATGTTCGGTAGCTCAGCATATAGGGTGCTTATCACTGGCAGAGCACTCCCCAACAGAAGGATCAAATTCTGCTCTCGTTATGTGGACAGAATTTAGTAAAATTTAAAACGGGTTGCTGTGGCCATATCAATCGGCAACGCATGCCTTGATGACTAGAACAGAGAGGTAAAGCGATATATCCAAGCCAGGGATGGCTTGGCTTGCATAAATAGCTATTTTTTGCTTTTGATCTCCTGCCTAAGGTGTGAAACTGGAAAATGATATTTTGCAAAGGGGTAGGATTTGCTTGTTGTTGTTGTCGTCGTTTGTTTTCAACATCAATTTCAACATTACATATGTGCTGAAATTTGTATTTTCATTTATTAAATGTATTAGTATGGGATATTTGGATCACAGCGTGAAGTCTTCATGGATGATGACTCTCCCCACTCTTCAGAACAGCCAGAATTAGTATAAAATAAAATTACATCTACGCTGGGTCTCAAGCATTCTTGTGAGTCAGTCAGCTCACAGTGCATTTCTAATAGACACAGAAACAATGAGCAAAAGTATCTGCTTTTCCAAAGTTACATGAAAGGCTGTTCCGCACATGTTATGCAACTGTCAGACATGTAAGGCAGTAGTATTCTGTGCTGTGCATTCTGGAGGATGGTCCTAAGCTATTTTCACTTTTCCCAGTTCTGTGCTGCTCCTATAGCTGCAGAGTAGATTTAGTCGTGGCATCCCAAGACTTTCCTGTAGACCAGTCTCAGCGCTAAGCAGAATCTTCTCGCTCTAAATGTATTACATGAGAGCTTGCAAGCCGTATGGTGATTTTCTGTGACAAAAATAGTTGTCGAAGTACTTCTGGGAACCCTATGGCGACTGTTCCTACTGCATGAAGCAGAAAGATGTCTTCCTGAGACTGAGGGCTCCAGCGCACATCTCTCATAACACTATTACTGTTACTCCTCGAGGAGTGTATTTGCTCTGGAAGAGGGTAAGGATGAAGGAGTAGGAAAGCGAACTCTTACAAGCAAAATGACACAACAGGGTGCCCAGAGATATAGGAGGGCAAGGAGGAAGAATGCAGCCAGCCTTGCGTGGCCCCAGGAGTACACCAAGGGGCCCCTAGCGACTGCAGAGCCATGTGTGACCGAGGGGTCACCAGTGCCGCCACCAGGAGGCCGGGTCGGGGCGGATCAGGCCCTGAACTGGAAACTGGGTGGGAGCGAACTGTCCCCCAGCTCCAGGATCGTGCAGGACAGACCAAGCAGGAGCAGGGAGTGGTATGTGCCCTTGCTTTCTTGGTGGGCAGCCCAGCTTTGAGGCTGCTCTGCTGGGGCCTCTGGTGGAACGTGCCAGCACAGCAAGTGTCGGGGGGTTGCCTGCTGGCAGGGATGGCTGGCTGAGACATGCACACACATTTTGGCTACCCACCAACTGCCACCTGATGTTCAGTGCTGGGCAATGCAGGTGGTCAAGATCATGACAAAAACTTTCCCCTGTGCCACACAGCGTTCAGTTCTGTGCTCTGATTTGAGGTCTCAGATTGACACGTGTCACACCGGTGAGGTGGCGGGGAGCTGAGAAGTGTGAAATGTGCTTTCAGGTTGCTAGTCTAAGGGTGAAGCTGAAGGACAGACACGTGCAATCAGGGTTTTTCCTCTCAAATACCAGAAATGAATTCTATCCCTGAGGGAAAAAGCTTGAGGGAGGCTGACAGCCGCTTGGTGACTTGCCACATCAAGGGCAAAGGCAGGAGCTGACCCTTCCTCTCCAGACTGATGAACGCTGGTCCAGTAGCAACTGTTCAGGTTTCACAGAAGGGGAAAGCATAATGGCCCCAAGCCCTGTGGAAGTCTCAGTCCCAAGTGTTGTTTATGTGTAATAATTAATAAACGATTGGTTTACTCTTTGTACTTACGGCTGTGGCTCCTGCAGTTCCTTTGACTTGGGAAGCACCTGTGACAGTGCCTGAGGGAAGGAGGTTGCCTATTGTGTCTGAAGGGTGGGAGCTGGTCCCAAGATTTCTCAGACTCCTTTGGGATCACTGGGGGTTCATAGACAGCCTGTGCCATTCACAGGGCTGTGGGGGTTTCCCTTGCATTGCCAGGGACACTCAGGGCTGTTGGTAGCATTTGCCATCAGCCAGGGCCAGCCAGGGCCCCTCCAGGGCTGTGTGAGGTCCCCAAGCTGCTCCTGGTTGCTGTCAGCACCCTCAGGTGCCCTGGGTACTTTGGGGGTCGAGAGCAGGGATCAGCGCAAGCGGTGCTGGAAGATGGATTTTCCACAGGGTCTGGTAATGGCTGCAGGCCACTCCCCATCAAGCACACAGCCCCATAGTATGCTGTTGTGGTTTAAGCCCAGCCAGCAACTAAGCACCACACAGCGGCTTGCTCACTCCCCCACGCGGGGTGTGTGGGGGGGAGGCTTAGCCACGTGGGGACTTAGTGGCGTGCTGGGAGTTGAAGTTTTCCAGCACCAGACTCCCAGGCCGGCCATATACGTCTACAGGCCATGCCGGGAGATGTAGTCTTCCGTCACTGTGCTTCCAGTCGGCCATGTTTGTCTGCGTAGCATGCCGGGAAGTGAAGTCTCCGGAACAGAAATTTCTGCCCCTTGTTTCCCCTCACTGTCCCTCTGTTCCCCCCTCCCTCCCTGCGCTCGGTACTGCAGCTCGGGAGTCTCGCGTGCGCTGTGGGGCTCTTTCCCGTGCTCGCTGCTGTCACCCGGTGACCAAAATTCGGTACTGCAGCTCGGGAG